CATCGGATTAAAGAGCTTCTTCAAGGCAAATGAAAACAGGATTGAAACAAAAAAACAACCCACTAACTGGGAAAAAATATTTGCAAGTCATATATCTGACAAAGGCTTAATATCCATAATATATAAAGAACTCTCGCAACTCAACAACAAAACATCAAACAACCCAATCAAAAAATGGGCTGGAGACATGAACAGACATTTCTCCAAAGAAGATATACTGATGGCCAATAGGCACATGAAAAGATGCTCATCATCGCTGATCATCAGGGAAATGCAAATCAGAACTACACTAAGATATCACCTTACAACCCGTTAGAATGACAAAAATATCTAAAACTAATAGCAACAAATGTTGGAGAGGTTGTGGAGAAAAAGGAACCCTCATACACTGCTGGTGGAAATGCAAACTGGTGCAGCCACTATGGAAAACAGTATGGAGATTCCTCAAAAAATTAAAAATAGAACTACCATACGATCCAGCCATCCCACTACTGGGTATTTATCCAAAGAGCTTGAAGTCAGCAATCCCAAAAGTCCTATGCACCCCATGTTTATTGCAGCACTGTTTACAATAGCCAAGACGTGGAAGCAACCTAAGTGTCCAGCAACAGACGAATGGATAAAGAAGATGTGGTACATATATACAATGGAATACTACTCAGCTGCAAAACAGAACAAAATCATTCCATTTGCAATAACATGGATGGACCTTGAGGGAATTATGTTAAGTGAAATAAGCCAGCGAGGGAAGGATAACCTGTGTATGACTCCACTCATATGAGGAATTTAAAATTATGGACTAAGAACAGTTTAGTGGATACCAGGGGAAAGGTGGGGTGGGGGGTGGGCACAAAGGGTGAAGTGGTGCACCTACAACATGACTGACAAACATTAATGTACAACTGAAATTTCACAAGATTGTAACCTATCAATAACTCAATAAAAAAAAATCACTTCTTAAAATTTCCTGGTTTTCCTAAGTATTTTATATCTGATAGAAACAAAAGATAACGATGGGATAACACACATTTAATCATATACTTTGCTAGAGGATTTCATGCAGAATTTAAGCAGAAATGTAATTAATCTAAAAAACCAAAAAGTAACAAGCCTCTTTCACTCTGAACTCTCTAAAGTTGTCACATAATTGTTAACAATTATTAATATGTTCTTATGTTGTTCTAACCACTCTTTGAAAGCTCTCTCTCTTTAATTTATAGATACTGAAATTTCCCTTTACTATAACAATTTAACCTCAATTATAAATTCTAGAATTGATTTTATGCAACAGTAACCATTGTAATGAAACACATTTTTAAACAATGATAGTGAGTATACTATACGCCATAGCTAAAGCATGAGATTCATCAGATGTAAGTATATGTTTAATCCTTTCTAATTTTATTCTACTGTCTAATCTGATTAAAACATAGCTCTACTATTAAATTGAAGAGTCAAAGATACTAACAAGCCTTCTCCTGGCAATGCCTTCCAGACAAAGAATGCCAGGAACAATACTGTGGTTAAACTAGTTGGGTTTATCACTCATTGCATCGAGAGATGCCTCAATGCCCACCTTGAGGAACTTTAGAGTATCTTAGTAAGAGGGTGTTAGAAAAGACTTATGGGATTTGGACTTGTGTTAGGTGATTTGGGGGAGGGTTTAAGGAAGCAAAGCCTTGCTCAGGATTGAATGCAGTCAGGAGGTAAGGGTAATTCTATGACTGGACAGCTTAATAAATCTTACCTATAGGATGAGGCTAAAACTGTAACTGGTAAAGAGGCAACAGTCAATCATATGAGCTGGGAGAGGGGATGTTTGGCATTTTGTGGCTTGGACAACATTCATGTTTTACATGTGTTTGGACATGATTATAGAGTGGTTTTGTTTTTCTCTTGATCCATCACGGACACAAGCAGCCTTGTTCGACGTTGATGTTCTGTGCAATTGTTTATCTTCAACAGACCAAGCCTAAGCAGTACTGTCAATCCGATTCCTAGGAACACCAAGGCCTTGGTGATAGTACAGGCCAGCTTCCAGCTGTCATGGCCACTTTTCTCTTTCTCACTCCTAAAAGCACATGACAACTTGCATAAAACTACAAAATTATTCAAGAATTACTCAGTGAGTTACAGAGATTGTGTTAACAGATATAGCCTAAGTATAAAACAGAGTAACAATGTTTATAATTTAAAGATTAAGATACAAGAAAGATACCTAAATGGGATTCTTTATCTTCCTTCACCCTACAATGTAAAATCACTCAGAACTTTTTTCAAGATATTATTACCAGGTTTTTTTTCTCCCAGTAGCTGTGAACAACGTATGCAGATGATAAACAGTTTTCAGGAAAACAGTTCAACTGAAAGACCTGGATTTGAAACCCAATTCCATCACTAACACGCCATGTGATTGACCTCAGATACGTTCCTTAACCTCTCTATCCCTCAGTTTCCTCGTTTGTAAAATGGAAATATCTACTCCAGAGTTGTTATGGAGAAAAAATACAATGATGCAAATAAAATGTATGGCACACCTGACACTTAGAAATCAATAAATCACAGCAGTTTTATTAATTCTTGTTGTACTTTCATAATCTTTGTACACATCAGTACTCCCCTTCTTTTAAAAAGCGTCCAAACAAAGTACACTGGTTATCATAATCCAAATCAACATCTCTAAATCTTCAACTTAGGCCCATTGTGTTTATCATATAGAAAGAAATATAAGCAAAACAGAACATTCCCATTCTGCCAAACCTAAGCAAATCTAAAAAACAGAGAGGACACAGAAATAACTGAGTATGCCCAATTCCTTCTTCTAATTTCATCAATCACTAAGAGACAGGAAAACATTGCTTCCATCCTTTTCCCTCTTGACTGAAGTGCAAATTTCCTCCCCACTATGGAAGCATGAGGAATGGAAAATAACTCCCATCCTAAAGGAAGGCACTGTTCTAGATGCTAAGGGGATGAAAAGTATAAGATATAATCCTTGCCCTCAAATAATGCCCCTGACAAGATAATGCCCCTACACAGTGGTTCATAGTCTAGCCAGACTGGAGTTTAGGGACTGAATGTGAGGTACCCATAAAACATCCAGTGGAAGTATCAAGAAAACAATTTGAATATGACTGGAATTCAGAATAGAGCCCAGGTTAGAAAAAAGGGTTTAGCAGTTTTTAAAATGATCATTAAAGCTATAGGAGAAGTGGATGCCTGGAAAAAGAGACCCTAGAGTAAGAGAACAAGACTGAGGACAGAATAGTAGGGAGTGCTAACATATGGGTGTGGGGTGTCAGAAGGAGCCTGTGAAAGAGCCTTAGAAGAAAGAAAGGGAGGCATGAGGTGAACTAGAACAATGTTTCTCACTTCCCATCTATCCAGAGATGTTTCCAACAAATGAAAGGTGCTCAGTCTTTTTCTCCAGGCAGATGACAAGCACATGAGCAACTTACTTCCACAGGCACACCCAAATTTAGACAAATCCCCCTAACTGTTGCTAAGAAATAAATACCATATGGTTGGGGGGAGAGAGGGAGGCTGGGGGTTAGGATATGTAAAGAGAGTGAATACATAAAAGCATTATTAAGTCTGTTAGCAGCTGTTAATAATACCTCATTATACTGACCAAGGACAGTAACATAAATTAGATAGCCTTTGGGTGACGTAAAATTGCCGAAACACAGGGAGAAACGCCTGTGTCTCCCACTCAGGAAAGCAACCAGAATACAAGTCAGAATGATGTTAAAAGGGTAATCTGAAATCTGCTCAAAGTTTGTGAGTTAAATTGCAATTTGTCTGAAAATTTTATTTGAGAAAAACTGTACTGAAAGCATCCTATTTCAATTTACCCTATCTAAAATCATCTGCTCCCTTCCAGAAGGTCATCTTGTACTGCAGGAGACCCCAAATTTCATCACTGGGGAGCATTTCAGCAGATCTTTAACCAGCACTCAGTGTCCTCCTAGGGAGAGAATGATATGCAGAAAAAAAAGCAGCATCTGACTGGTTTCCATGGGATTCCTTTTTGCTTGTCAACATGACAAGCCATTCTTTCATATGAAACAGAACTTCTCTGGTAAGGATAACTGGCTTTTTACAAACTCATATTGGTTGCTATCAGGCTATTGCATTTTCCGATGTGTTTGGAAACTAGGCGGTGGTTTACTTTAGAATTTAGTCTTCCCAGAAACCCAAACTAAACTCTTTAATCCTATAATCTTGAGAGCCAGCCTCTCTCAAAAGATGAGTCCCATGGCTAACATTTACTGAAAACTAGATTCAAATCCCATATAACAATCCTAAAATCAAGGCAGTTACAAAGAGGTTCAAGCTCCAGGAGCCAGGGGGAAACAGGATAACAGGACCCGACCTCACAGGGCTGTGGTGATTTAATAAATTTTACTTGCAAAACAAAGCGGTGGGAACAGCGCCGGGTGCACAAGCACTCAGTAAACGTTAACCATTAACCAGCACCGAGGAAGAGGGCAGGGGCTTCGGGAGGCTCAGCCGCAGAGCGGAGCCCCAGCCGAGGGGGAGGGAAGGCGAACGGGCGTGAAAGCTCAGCTCGTCTCCAGGAGCTGTGGGTGGCGGCCGCGTTAGGAAGCATCCACACGTTGTCAGGCAACCGGGTCTCGACAACCCCCCAGGCGGCGGCGGTGGCTGCGGCCCGGGAGTTCCGACCGGTAACCAGGGCGCCGCCCCTGGGCCGGCCCTGCAGCCGCGAGACCCCCACCACAGGGAACCCTCGGCCCCCGGGAACCGGGCACCGTCCCCAGCCCGGCGGCCGCGAGACCCCACCCAGCAAGGAACCCTGGGCCCCCAACCCCCGTAACCTGGACGCCGCTGCCGGCCCAGCAGCCGCGAGACCTCCGCCCCAAAGAGCTCCCGCCCCCGGCCCGGAGCCGCGAACGCAGCCCTGGGACACAACCCCCGACCCCTGAGCCCCGACCACACCCCGCCAGGCCCGCTCCCCACCCGCGGCGGCGAACACTTACTCAGCAGAGCGGGCTCCCGTCCGGGGAGACTTACAGCGCTCCAAGGAGTCTCTCCGTGGTTCAAAGAGGTGGCGGCAGCCGCCCACCGCGGGAACTATGTGACAGGCCGCCGGGACCGGGCTCCGCCTCTCAGGCCGAGCCCTCCACCCGCCCTTCGTCAACGGCCGAGCGCGGCCCCGCCCCCACTGCGGCCGCGGGGGAAGGCCGCGCGGCTCGGGGCGCCCCCTGCCGCCCGGAGGCCGCACAGCCGCTGGCCGTTCGCAGGGCTCTCCCGCACCCACGCTGGGCGCTCAGGCACCTGGTTTCCCTGCTCCGCCTGGAGGCTTAAACCGTGGGAGCCACTTCCCAGGCTGAGTCGATTCCAGCCCCTCCAAACCCTGCAAGCCCCAGCCAGCCTGGCAACAGGGTCGGAACCTGGAAAGAAAAAAAGAGTAGAGGTGGCAGTGAGAGAAAAGCTGTTCACATAGCTTCTCGGGACATTACTCTTCTTCCAGGAGTCTGGTCAACGTTTTGTCCTGGGCTTTTATTACTTAATTTCAGCATGCTCAGTTCACACCAATATTGAGTGGCCATATGCTACCACCAGAAAAGAGATCTCTAGCTTCCCAGAGAGTAGAACTAAGAGTCCTTCATCCTAAATTACTTCGTAAGAGGCCTTTTTAAAGACAAATTTTCTTCAACTGGAAATCAATGTCCAAACCGCATGGGGGATGTGGATTAGATAATTCTAATGTTTTTGTTTGGAATATACGTCACACACGGTACTAGGAGTGGAGGCTACAACTCAGAGCCAAGTGTCCTACATTCTGAATTTTACAGTTAAAAGAAAAACTTTGAAATAAACAAACATATTATTAATATATTAAAAGATATATTATTAAAAGATTAATATGACCTCCCAAGCAGGAAAGTCAGGGGAGAGCATTTTAGCCAATGCTGAGCACATATGCAAAGTTTCAGCATTGACTAAAGAAAGATGAAGCTAGAGAGGTGAGCTGTGATGCTGATGCGGGGTCGGTGAGCCAAGGAGTCAAAAGAAAGATTTCTTGGACTCTCAAGATCTGGCAGTAGTGCTCTTCTATTTAGAGAATAGTGTGGAATAGCATGGGGACAAGACCCATGGGCAGTCAGAGCTGCTGCTGCTGCCCCGAGTTGAGGGTTAGGGCTAATTTTATAAGGCATGGGTATGTGAGTCATCTCTTTACAAGACAAAGGAAAGAACATGAAAAAAAGTTAAAATGGTATCAGTGCAGGTGGGGTCTGGTCACTTGGGTGATCCCATGACTTTTAGACAAGAATCAAATCGGATTAAGTAAAGGTCAGAAGCCACCACCCTAAGTCAGTTACATGAGATTGCCAGACAGCAACCAACCCAAGTTCTTGCCTTCCCCATTAAGAGTTTCTAGGGACAAGGTCACCTCTCTTCTCCTTCCTGGTACAGAGAAGGAGGCACCTTTTACAGATAGAGATTTACCTTACAAATGTAAATATGTCCCAACAAGGGCAAGTTCCATTCCTCAGAGCCTCCTTCCCTGTCCCAGTTTATCAAAAGCAATCAGCCCCATAGAATCCCAGTGCCAAAGAGACATATCCTGGGGTGGCCAATTTCAGGTCCCTACAAGGTCATTCTCCCCTTCCTTCACAAATGCAAATGTCTCTCAAAAGGGCAAGCAAATTCCAGTCCTCGGAGCTTGCTTCTCATCTGCAGTTTTAAAAGTGACCAGCCTAAAATCCTCATCAATGCTATTCTTTTGGTTTTCCCCAGAGCAAAAAATTTATTGACATCTGTGCTAGGTATAGGGATAAAACAAGGAACACAACCTGGTCCTGTGTTTTGGAATTTAGAATCTATTGCAGACTGGCGGAGAGGCAGAGAAGGAAGAATCTCTAAAACAAGCAAATAAGTGAAATAAACGTTGTATTAACTGTTGGAAGAAAACAAGTATGTTGCTGAGATTAATTGTGCCTTGGGGACAGAGCATTGCTTAAGATTAAACTGTAAACTATTATAAGAACTGGACACTGGACATTTTCAGAATACTAGTAACTCACATAGATGTTAATTTTTACAAACACGCCGAACAACATGATGAGAGAGACGTTCACCAGTTTTCACAGCCTCCTCCTAACGCTAGAGAACGCCCATCTGAAAGCGCAGACCCGAACATCGCGAGCCCATAGAATTTTACGCATGTGCAGTGAAGCATCAAGAAGTAAACTACGATGCCATCTTTAGCTTTCAAACAGCATCCAGAACTACTTATATCTCAGTTTTTCCACATACATCCTTGCTTTTTAGTCTTTCAACAAACATTTCACTAAAGGTACCTGCTCCCCCATAAAAACAGCGGCTTTCCCCATCCCACGTTAAGGATCCACCCATTTTCAATATGGCGGAGGACAAGCCTGCGCAGTACGAACAAAGGAGGCCCATTCCAGTTACTGGCATAACGTTAGCATGCCCTTCTTCCGGTGCGGAAGGCTATACCATTCCCGTACTCAACATAGTGTTTGTCCTAATTCACACATATAGTTTTCCAAGATAATATGTTCCCATTTCAGCCACAAGAAGAATCCCCTGTCTCTAACTATTATGAAACTGCTGTTTATATCGTCGCGTCCGCGAAGGGTCCCCGCCATCCTCGAATGGTCTGTACCAACTTCACCTCCGGTTCTAGGTGTCATGGCTGCCTCGAGAGTCTAGTACGAGTTTGCACCTGTGGTGGGGAGGGTCCGAAGCCCACACCCGGAAACCCAGCGAGGTAAAGTTGCGTTTTGGTTGTGGAGGCGACAACTTCTCCGATTCCTCAACGATGACGGCGTCCGGGAGTGGTATGGCCCAGAAAACCTGGGAGTTGGCCAACAACATGCAGGAAGCCCAGAGTATCGATGAAATCTACAAATACGACAAGAAACAGCAGCAGGAAATCCTGGCGGCGAAGCCCTGGACTAAGGAGTGAGGAGGTCCCTGGCGAAACGCAGGGGAGGGAAGGGGTGGCGGGAGTTTAAGAGAGCCGGAGGAGTGGGAGTTGAAGGGGAGGAGAGCCTGTCGTTTCGTGGGCAGGGAGGAGAAGAATATGCGCTTGAGAAATTTTTGTCTACCTTTTATTCCCGCAAGTACAGAGCCTAAGCCCCTCCACTAGGGCTTGCTTCGACTCCCCTTTCTGTTTCTTTAACCCGTTTGCCTCCGGAGGATGGAAGAGGAAAACGGCAAGCGGTGATTTGGATTGTCACTTCTCAACATCCGTATTGTCATATATGCCACCCACTATGCGTTGAATCCTATGTCTGTATACATCTTGTTGGGACCTTTAGCTGCTCCCAGACTGGAGACTGCAGCTGTCTTCAGAAATTGAGTTAGCCCAAGGGTCTCTAAAATAACTATGAGCCATATTTTAGAGATCTATAATTGTTTTTTGATTGCTGGTAATTATTTCAGAAACACAACGAGGCTCCCCCAAAATGTTATTCTGCTAGTTCACATAAACTAGAAATTTTATCAATAGAGCTTAAGGCTCTTTACCTTTTAGCAAAATCCCAGTGTTCCTAGGAGTGATGACGAGTCGAGGTTCTTTAATCATAACGTTTATCCTTTCCTGAGAACAGATTTTGTTAGGGAGAAAGTAAAAAGAGCACACAATCTCTCTAATGAAGAGACAGGAAGGAGAGCGGTGATAAACAAAAAACATCGTACTTCATCTGTCTCAGTTTTTTATGACGCAAGCTTCAACTGCCAGTATTCAGATGTAGCAATGTTTATTGAGTGCTTAATATGGACTGAGCACTGAGCTAGGAGTTTCCATGTCATTTAATCCTCATGACAAAAAAGAATCCTCACTTATTTTTTGCAAATAAGAAAACTAGCAAATACAGTAATTTATTTGATGATCACACTAAGGTAATGAACTCTTAAGTGAGCAATAGTCAGACCTAAGATCAAATCTCACAACTGTCACTAGTTGATTGATCCTAGGAAATTTACTTATCCGTCTTCATTTTTTAATGTGTAAAGTGGAAATAAGACCTACCTATTGGTTATGTTGTAAAGATTAGATGAGGTAATGTATAATAAAGTGTCTAGAATGTATGTAATAGGAGCACAGTAACTGTCTTTTTTTCTTTTCCCCAGTAAATGGAGGAGCTAAGATTTTAATTCATGTCTTGACTCGCAAGACCAGGTCTCCATATTTTTCAGTTGTGACTGAAATCTGTGGGCAGACACCTTAAAAAGGCTTCTCAGAAACACTGACCACTCTATACAGACTGGTTAGTTTGCCTGGTTGTCTCCTTACTTCTGTGGCGGCCTGTGCGTTTTAGGTTGATGTAGCTTATTAAATATGTGGACACTATCAGCTTGCCTCACTGATTGTGGCTCTAATTATATTCATCCTAGCTGTCTTGGGCTGCATCAATGAGACGGAAAATATAATTTTATTCAAGAGCAGTTTAGTCACATCCACAAATGACAAACTCTGAAGTAGTGATCATGGAGAACTAAAGACATTAGGGCTACATTTTCAGTTTTGAAGCTGATAGCACAAAACCACACCCTTCAACACACTGTTCTTTGACAGTATTGCAAAAGATAGGTTAATAATCCTAATAAGAGCTAGCACTTATAAAAGTTTTACTATGTGTCAGGCACTAAGCTAAGCACTTTGTATGCATTATTTCATTTACTTTATTTCCTTTTAACAACAACTCTATGAAATATCCCTATTTACAGATGAGAAAACTGAGGCACAGACAGTAATTGGTTGTCTCAAGGTCACAGCTAGGACCAGTTCAAGGATTCAGACCTACACAGATGGATGTCAGAGCCCACATTCTTAACCATTAAGCTAGAAGGTTAAGCCTGAGAACAGTTAGGTACAATCATCCAAACAGAGTCAGAATCAGAGATTTGGTGATTCCAAAATTAATGGAGAAAAAGTCTATTAAAGTGGTCATGTAATTCCCTCCTTTCCCCTTGAATAGCATATTTGAAAACTATTTCATACTTTTCCCTTCCCCCAAGGCAAAATACTTTGCAGGACTATGACATGGTTATTATTTCCAGCTCCCTTTAGGAACTCTGTTCTTTCCCACTTGCTTTTTCTTTCCCACATTCTACACTCTTTCTCCCCCTTCCATCACTGTAACAAATTCAATACTTATCTTCACAAAAACTGTCTTTTGAAATTGTACTTTATATAAGAAAGTTAATTACACTGTGCTTTTGTTTTGTAGTCACCATTACTTTAAGTACTGCAAAATCTCAGCATTGGCTCTACTGAAAATGGTGATGCATGCCAGATCAGGAGGCAACTTGGAAGTGATGGGCTTGATGCTGGGAAAAGTGGATGGTGAAACAATGATCATTATGGACAGTTTTGCTTTGCCTGTAGAGGGCACTGAAACCCGAGTAAATGCT